TTTCAAAAGGGAGAGTGCAAAAGAGCCACTCCTATAAGCCCTGTGCCTTCACTCCTCTTAAAGGTAAATTCCTTCCTTGTGAAAACTAAGAAAAGAGAAATGCAAAGGGGCTGGACTTGGTGATCCACAGGATCCCTTCCAGCTCTGCAGTTCAAAGGTTCAAAATCAAGGCAGAATGAACAAAAAGACTAGGAAAACAAAAGCAAGAGCTATGTCATCAAAATAGAAATCAAATGTTTAAAAAGTACAATTTATTTATTTTTCTTGAAAAATCCTGAAGAAGAACTTTTCCTGTCTCCTGAAAACTAAATTCACATCATTTATTCTGGGCAAAATAAAGCTCAGTATCTTGGCTATGCTGGCTAGGGCTTAAGTGTGTTGCACTGGCTTCCTCATAATCTTGAGGCTTCTATGAAAAACCACAGAACTCAGCTAAATTAATTCATAGATGATACACTGAATGAACTACCAATCACCATGCACCATGATAATCTATGACTTCCTCCATCGCATGCAAAAGTTCACCTCTGTCAAGATACAGAGCATGAACAGCTCAATTGCATTTGCTGGAAATTTTCACCTTTCTCAGTGGAACAGCACAAAGCCTTTGGGTTTTCGACCAGGGCAAAGTTTATTTGGGAATATCACGATCCAGAGATTTCAAATCCAACGTTGATCAATCAATAGGAACAGAGAATGCAATTCACATGCATGGCTTATTTCAAGAAAGTGGTTTGGGATGGGGTTGTTAGGTTCTCATCCACAGACCATGTCTGTACCTTTCAAAAACAAAACAGGGCAAAGAGGTTGGCTTTATCACCTTGTTGCTCCACCAACCTAGATCTCCCCACCCATGAGGAGAATTCTGTCTGGAAGACTACAATAACAAACAGTATTTGCATCATTTCTCAGCATCTTGGAACAATTAAAGGTAAAGGAGGCACCCTTTCCAGCTAGCATCTCTGCTGGTCTATGCTTGAAAGACAGCACAGTTCAACACTATAATCCCACAAGCTAAATGGTGACAAATGGCAGAGAAACGTTTGTAAAAAGGAGAGGAAAAGCAGCTGAAAGAGAAACATTTTAGACTATGATCCTAATATCACTGAAACAAGATGTCACACACCAGGAAGTTCACCTGATGCTGTTCTGATTGTTCTAAAAATACCAGGAGATGCCGTCATCTTGTGAGAGTGCACAATCCCACAATTTTGGCATCAGGAGGAGCAGCAAGTTTCCGGTTATCATTGCTGATTCACATGAACAGCATAATGGCTCTTAAAAAGCACACTAAAAAAAAACCCTCAAAGAATGGATGGACTATTATATTATATTATATTGTGCTATAATCTATTTCGTAAGGCATGCACAAATCCACTCGCTGCTTGGCCAAGAACAAGGACCTGGCTCTCCAGTGAGCCAGAGACACAGGGATCTCTCAAAACTCTCACTTGTGCTGCATTTGGAGAACGTGAACAGCAAAAGTCTCATGAGAAACCCCATTGGTCTTACCTGCATCATACCTCGGTACAAATGTCATAAGATCCCACCCCTTTCCCAAATCCTGTGTGCCTATCAGACACCATGCCAGGCCCTGGGGTCAGCCTTCCTTGACTCCCAATTGGGCCCTCTTGGATTTCTTAAATTGCCATGTCCCCTTCTCATGATATCAATGTTTGAGGTTTCCCTAACTTTTGTCTTGAGTTTTTACCCATCCTTAAAATGCCTCTCCTAAGGTTTAATTATCCTGGTAGTAAAAGGCATGTTTTTTGTTTTTAAATTTCTGGACTACATCTCCCAATTGTTGGGTGGAATTCATCTAACCAGACTATAGAAAAGGAAGTGTTCACAGCTGTTTTTAATCATGTACAGGTGTAGATTTGGGTTTGGTAGTCTCCTTGTCCATTACACTCTGTAGAGGGTGATTCTAATAAGAGTACCAGGGCCCATAATGCCTTGCACCAAGGTTGGGGACCACTGCTGTAGAGGGTGATTCTGATATGAGTACCAGGGTCCATAATGCCTTGCATCTCTCACAGAATACTTCTTCCCTTCAGGCACTTCTTCCCTTCAGCAGCATGGCCAAGACAGACCCACCGTTCCCCACCTGTATGTGATTAAAAACTGCTGTGGGTACTTTGATGTCTTTTCTACAGCCCCAAGAAGTCTGGCTGTGAGAATTCCTGCAGAATTCTGGGGGATGTAGTCCAAAAATTCCATGCTTGGGCAGTAACAGCTTTACATTAAAATACAGTGTAATTACAGCTTCACTCACTAGTGGCATGCAGCCTCCAAGAACATCTCCTCTCCCTTAGCTGTGTATACTAAAGCTGGAGAAGAGCAGTGGGCTCAACAATGGCTGGCTGGCGAATGAAACCATTATTTATGGGCTATTAGCAACTGATTCATTTCCTTCTTTTTCTTTTTCACCAGCTTTGCCAGGAAGGGATATAGGGCTTTAACTAGTCTTGCCTAGAAGCATTACTTCAATTTGTAACATAAACATCACCATTCCTGAACATAGCATCTGCCAGATTGTTGGATTATGCATCTGAAGGATACCAGGTGGAGAAGAGTAGGGGTGTGCAATAACAGCTTCATACAAAGAGGCTATGGTGATACAATTAGAAATATGGGACTTGGACCAACTGATCTCATGAACTCAACACCTTAAAACAAATACGTAACTTCTCCTGTTATCCTCTTTGCTGATAACAGAATTCATTTTTTCTCATAATGAACATTTCAGTGCAAACTGACTAGTGTGAGAAATAAATGCTATCAGCATTGGGGGGTCAATTCAACAACTTTAGGTAAAAAAGTGTTGTAGGCTTGGGAACATTCACCAAGTGGGAAGAGCCTGAGGAAAAGCAGTATTGTGCAAAGGCTGAAAAAGTGTTATGACATAAACACATTATTTTTGCCATCTGATGATCTGTTGTGGCAGCAATACGAGAAGAACCATAAGTTCAGAGATATGGTGTTTATCAGTGGTCCCCAACCATTTCCAAACCGCAGACAGGTTGGGGGGCGGGGGTCTGTGTGCAGGAGGGCTGGGGCACCCCCACTGCTCGTGGGTGGGTAGGACACATGCATGCACCCATGCGGTTGGGCAGGGCACCCATGCATGCAGGTGGGTGGGCCATGCATGCAGGTGGGCGTGCGTGGGGGGGAGTGCATGCGGGAGATCTGTTTCTGTGGCCCAGTCTTGCAAAGGCCATGGATCGGCAGTGCTGCAGACCAGGGGTTGGGGACCCCTGGTGTATATGACTAGATGTGGTAAAGGTAAAGGTTCCCCTTGACATTTAGTCCAGTCATGTCTGACTCTAGGGCGCGGTGCTCATCCCCGTTTGAAAGCCAGTGTTTGTCCAAAGACAGTTTCCATGGTCACGTGGCCAGTGCGACTAGACACGGAACACCGTTACCTTCCCACCGAAGTGGTACCTATTTATCTACCTGCATTTTTATATGCCTTCGAACTGCTAGGTTGGCAGGAGCTGGGACAAAGCGATGGGAGCTCACTTGGTCGCGTGGATTCGATCTTACGATGGGTGGTCTTCTGACCTAGCAGCACAGAGGCTTCTGTGGTTTAACCCGCAGTGCCACCACATCCCTGTGTATACGACTAGATGAGGACTCAAAGGCAATTATACCCAACTACCTATATGATAGAATATTTTCTAACCAAGCTATGCACTAGCTATGCACTATCTCCCACTAGTGAGCTCATAGTGTGTAGTACCTCTGGAAGACCTGGCTGGACAGCTCTGCGAATTAGGTATCTGGCTGTGGAGACAGAAGTTGGGAGTTTGATTTCCCACTGTGGCTCCAAGGATAAAAGACAATGTGTAGCCTTGAGCAAAATGCACAGCTTCTAAGTAATCTATACCTTAAAAACACTGGAGAGTGTCACCATGAGCAAAATGCACAACTTCTAAGTAATCTATACCTTAAAAACACTGGAGAGTGTCACCATGAGCAAAATGCACAGCTTCTAAGTAATCTATACCTTAAAAACACTGGAGAGTGTCACCATGAGCAAAATGCACAGCTTCTAAGTAATCTATACCTTAAAAACACTGGAGAGTGTCACCATGAGCAAAATGCACAGCTTCTAAGTAATCTATACCTTAAAAACACTGGAGAGTGTCACCATGAGCAAAATGCACAGCTTCTAAGTAATCTATACCTTAAAAACACTGGAGAGTGTCACCATGAGCAAAATGCACAGCTTCTAAGTAATCTATACCTTAAAAACACTGGAGAGTGTCACCATGATTTATTACTACTACATCTGGAGTGTTATGTTCAAAGTGTGTCTATCAGTTTGGATCCCGAAATCACGTAAGATCTTGACTTCCTCATTTTCTGACACCTTCTTTACCTGATGTTTCCATGGGTTTTTGGAGGCTGGCAAGTTATATTTTTTGCATAATGACCAGTGCACTAATTTTGCCACTATTATTAATTATTATTATTAATTATTAATTATGATTATTATTAACAACAACAACAATATCTGTAAGATGTATATGTAGAGAGCATCTTACAGAAGAGTAGAACTGAATCTGCCTTAGTTATTGCTATGGTAAAAATAAAAAAAGTGTACTGCTTATATACTGGCCCATAGTGTTTAACTTTACAGCACTCTTTGGGTGGTTTACAATTTAATTATGCAGACTACACATTGCCTCAAACCCCACCCAGTGAGCTGGGTACTCAATTTACTGACCTCAGAAGGATGGAAGGTTAAGTGAACCTTAAGCTGGCTACCTGGGATTGAACCCAGGTCACGAGCAGAGTTTTGGCTGCAGTACTGCAGCTTAATCACTGTGCCACAAGACTCCTACTATGTAAATTGAATGTACCATGCCACTACCTACCTCCCAATTTGCTCTAGGATGTCTGCTATCATTTTTAAAAAAAACAACCCAGTACTATTTACATACGGTATAGTCTAATGAAAAACAGCCGACGGTGACAGACCAAATGTTGCTAACCTGCTTTGCCCATTTTCCCCTCTTTGCATAAATCCTTCAGCCTGGAACCCAACTCTGTGATGACGCTTGCTTAGCACCAGCGAAGTTTCCCACATTCAGAGTGACCACATTCTGGGCTGAGATGAGGGAATCAAAGTTAAAATCCAACCCATCTGCATCCATGAGTTCACTGCGGATAATGGACTCCATATCGCATTCCAAGCTCCCGTTGAAAATATCCAGGTCCAAATCAGTGGGGAATTTATCTTGCCCCATCATCGGGAGGCTCACGCTGTTGGAATACAAAGAAGAGCCTGAGAGCGAGTCAGAGAGTGATTGCATAGACTGGTTGGCAGGTGACTGTTGCTGGTGTTTTGCCGACCCAACGTTGTTTGAGTCACTTAAGCCCATAGTACCGACGGAATTGGACAAGGCACGGCTGCCGCTGAGGGAGGAGTTCTGGGGTGGATGCTGGTGGTGGAGCAGATTCTGGTTGGCCAAACTGCCCTGGCTTGGCTGGGCAGCAAAGGACATCATTGGATCATTCCGTAGCATAATATTCCTGCGTACGTTTTGGGCAGACACCGCCGTGCTGGCTTGCGACATAAGCGGATCGGACTGAGTCATCATGACGTCACTGTGGCTGTGCGAATCCGATGCCAGCAGATCCTGCAAGGTTTGGTTATTATAGTGAGACATGGAAGAAAACGTCGCTTGCTTGTTCTCTTGGATGGTTTGCATGGGAGACTGTCGGAGGGAATTCAGAGACGACGGCCCGAACACGGCGTTATTGAAACTACTCGACGGGGAACCAAGGCCTGACCCTTTGGAACTGTAGGGAAAACTCGAGCTTCTTTGCATGAGTCCCCCCGTGGGAGACTGCTGGGAAGCGGGGAGAGTTATATTGTCCAGAAGATCATCCATTAGGTTATCTGTCAGGCCATCGTTCAAGTTCATGGTGCCTGCCATATCAGTCAGTCTCGGCAGCTCTACATTACAGGGTTTGTTTACTGATGGGGACATGCTAGGTGGGCTACTGTACAGCATTGGGGAAAGGGGAGCGTCATCATCCTGAGCCTCATCGAGCTCCGTGGTTGCCAAAATGGGCGACAAGCGGCCACTTATTGTACTGGCGTTGGAGTTTGTCCGGGACCGGAAATCTGTCCACGCTTCGAGCTCATCGCTGCTTCGTGATGTTGGGCTGCCAGGCCACTTGGAGAGTTGGGTGGGGCTGTCTTCGCTTGTGTCTTGTGCTGCTTGCAGGGCCGCTTTCTTCTTAGCCGCTCGCCCTCGGCTCTTTGTGTACTTGTTGCTGTTGTCCATTGAAACTGCCCGCCTCCGTGGTGCCTTCCCACCTTTCCCACCGTCTGGATTGATCATCCACCATGAGCTTTTCCCAGTTCCTTCATTCTGTACCCTGATGAATCGACTATGAAGGGACAAGTTGTGCCGGATCGAATTCTGCAAGAATCACACATACAGAAAAAAAAAAACCAAATTTAGAACAGGAACATGTTTCCTTTGTCCATCTCAATGGGCTAAACACAATATGTGAAGATTGTATGAAAAATATGTCTTTTTCTCCTTCATCATCACTACCACCACTATCTTCTTCCACCACCACCACAATTAGTGCTATTACACAGTTACTATTAGTATAGTATATTTGAAGTGCTAGCAGTATCCCAGGTGATAAACTCTAGTCTGAACACAAAATTGAAAGTGGAGCTTGGAAAAGTAATTTTATTGGATTTCAATTCCCAGATTACACCAGCTAGCATGGACACTAGTCATGTCGGCTGGGGAAACTACGGGAACTGTAGTGTCCAAAAATAACTTTTCCGAGTACTGAATTCATGTGACCCCCGCTTACAGAATAACATGAACTTCTGGATCAGAGCTAGGTTGCAGGCAAAATCAGCACTGATGCCATTTGGTGACTACCTGGTTGATATGGCTCAATACAGCCTTCTAAACAACTTTAATAATAATTATCCATGTTAATTAAAGGAAAACACCTCTCCCCTTTCTTCATTAAGTATAACCTCCTATTACCTAAAATGATTCACTGAGACACTCTTATGCTTATTGATGTATCAGTATGCTACTAGAAACCGAGATGGTTAACAGAGATAGGTTGTGATTTTAATTACCTATATTTAAAAACCAGTTTGGCAAGAAACTAATTTCCAAGTCAATGTGTTCAAGATCAAGCTGTAAAACATGTTCAACACGTTTTATCCCAATGGTCTTCTGCCATACTGATTTATCCCATAATAATCATTATATAATTATGGTCTCTTCTTTCTTTTTTTCCTTTTGTCATTTATCTGTTCAGAAATTGCCTAATATTCCTGCTGTCACCAGGAGCATTCTTGTACATTTCTTGTATATTTATACAGCACCACCAATTGTTACATTTCAAACAGCACAAGAAATATAAGTCAAAGCACCACTTAGTGCTTCACCTCCTCCTTATTCATATTTTTAGATTGCCCAATAACCAAAGTTCTCTGGGAGGTTAACAATTATATGAAAAAGGTTAAGTTAAAACATTAACATGCAAAATCACTCTAAATCATCCACAATAAGATACAGAAGACAAAACAACCAAAGATAAAATTGGGAAAATTGCTATAAGCACATATAAAACCATGATAAACCGAAAGCAAAAGACATAGAAGAGTGCATGCTTATGCCAGTCATTACTGAAGAGACTAAAATGGCCTCCACTAAATAGGAAAACAAACTGTTTGGAAATCTTTGTGCCATCAGCCAGTTTTTCTAGGAGGATTAAGTTGATGCGAGACAGGGAGCTACTACCTTAAAAATCCTTTCCCATCCACACTGTTGCAATGTGACATAAAGTGACATTAGCTGGGGATGTCACAACCCAGAATAGCATTTAAATTTTTTTTTTAAAAAATAACACAGAGTTTAGAAAAACAGAAGAAGCACTGTGGCCCTTTGAGACTTGCAACTTTACTTTCTTGGTCTTCAAAGTGCCACAATACTTCTGTTTTTGTTTTTATTATTGCTGAAGCAGGCTTAAACAGCTACCACTCTGGAAAGAGTTTAGAGAAGTTACTTTAGTGGGCCACTCCTCATAGCGCCAGGCAGAATAGCCGGATGGGAGATTCTGGGAACAGCAGTTCAAAAAAGTTCCAAACACTGACATAACCTTACAGAGTTTTGGCAAACCCTCTGTATGGTGCTGAGTGCTTATGCGTGAAGATTAAGAAGTTCTTAGAATGCTGGCAAATGTTAGCTATATAGTACATCCCTTCTGCTGGCATATTTTGAAAACAGAAAAGCAACAGGAGGTACAATTTGTTTTTTTAAAAAAATCTAATTTTACAATGTACCCAAGGGATTGGGATTGAAGATATATTATTCACTCTGGCATAAAGGGAAAAGACTATAAGGAAACAGAAGGCATCTGAGATGACTGAAGAAATGTAGTGTACTTTTCACTCAATGGCAGTTTTTTAAAAAAATTGTGTCTGAGTGCAGGTGTGCTAAAGAAAAAAAGCCAAATACTGTACCTATTTTTCTCACTTCTACACACAGCAGACATATACAGTACTGGAATATATGGACAATCACTTCAAGCAAACAGCTACTTTTCTTTTTTTGTAAGCCTAAAATGCTTAGCTTCAATCAAAGTCTCTAGAGTGTGTTCTTCTACGAAAATTAATGGTTATGAATCTGGACCCTTTGAATACCAAACAAACTGATGGCTGTTTTTGCTTTTTCTGCAAGCCAGCTTCCCCATTCACTGAATTTAAGCTCCAAAATGTTTTAAAGTTGCAGCTATTAAGAGCCACACCCCTAATGTTCAATTTAGGTAGTAACAGCTGCTGGACATGCTGGCTGAGATATTTTGGGAAATGTAGTCCAAGAAAGTACTTTTTCTCACATAGTATTCTATGTTGTGATTAATTCCAGATTTACTGCTGTTTTAAAATTGCAGGGCTATGTGTGGTATACTTAAGGACCTAAGCACCATATTCGTTGGCTTTGTGGAACAGGAATACAGCATCTATGCAACTGGAAAAAAATTATTTCTAGGGAACAGGAATACAAAGTCTACACAACTCTAGGTATCAAGCAACTAACATCATTATTCCATGTCTTTAGCATCCAACTGAGAACCAATACAACCTATGAAGAATGGCAGAGCTGGAAAGATTAGGAGGCGCTGATGGAGTCTCTCATGATAGAGTGCCAGGATGTTGTTTTAGTTCTCCAACTTCATTATTACAATTCATTTATTATATTTCTACCTTGCCTTTGAAGTAATGCTCAAGGCAGCTTCCCATCATTATAATATAGTAAAAACAAATTTAACCATAGAACTCTTAAAATTTAATAAAACCAAACGTGATCATAAAAGAATTAAAATCAATTAAGTACAGTTAAAATCACCCCAATAAATTAAGCACTGTTGCAGCTCATTTTTTTAAACTGTCTTCACAGCCTTCTCAGAAGCTGTGAAAGTGGAACCTGCTCAGAACTCTGAGGTGAGCACATTCCGCATACTGGGAGGGAAGGAGGAGAAAGCCCTCTCCAGCTTGCCTGTCAAGAATTTTTCTCACACTCACTGGCCACAGGGATGTAGTCCTGTCTTCCATAATCCTCTCTTTTTGCCCCTCATATTCTGGAAACTCCACACCATCATCTTATGAACCAAAAGGTCTCCAGATGCAAATCACCTCAGAACCCTCTCCCAATCTCCAGCTGCTGGAAAAGTCAAACAATATCCTATCTGCCTGCAGAATGTACTGGAATTAAAGTCTTAATTTACTTCAAGGCAACTTTTTTCACCATACAAACTGCAATCCCTGTCGTTTGAGGGTCCCACACTGAGTATGGAAAAACAAAGATTGCACAGGTTAACAGGAATAACGGACAAGTTAGGTAAACGGTTATTACATTATAGATCATGAAGGTTGGTTATTTAGGGCAAGTGGGGTTCTGCCCACCTCAGTTTATTCTCAGCCAGTGTGTTCCTCAGGCAGAGACTGCATTTTAGAGCAGTCTTAAGGGAGCCACCATAAAGACACAATGTACAGTGGGGTCTTGACTTAAGAACGGCTTGAGTTAAGAACATATTACATATTACATCCCATTATACCCAGTTAATAATTACTATATGGGATTTGTAGTGTGTTTAGAAAAAAATGTTGGTTGATGGATATAATTTAGGAGATCTGTAGTTTATTTCAAACATAGATAGCACCAATAATGCTAATTCAACAAACTAAATATTTTCAAGCTGTGATATATACAGTGGGGTCTATGTAATTGTTCTTCACTGCATGTAAAAGGATTTTTCTTTCAGTGCCTGAAACTGGCTCCTTATCCAATGTAACTGCATTTGGTAAACACAGAAGCTTGAACTACTAACAACTCAGGTCACTGACATCAACTCTTTCCTATAGGGAATATACAGAAATCTCCCATTCCCACTGCTGGCAGTGATGATCTACTATTGTCTTCATATCAACAATAATGCAAGGAAGTGGGTATTAATCTTATTGCCCTAAGAATATCTGATTCAAGTACAGATGACAGAAATCAATTTCTTATATGCCTCTTTTGTTTGCAGCTCTGAGCATGATATCTGGGTAGAGAAGCAAAGCATGGTCTATTTTTCCTGTAACTAATTTCTGCAATGAGGGGAGCCCTTCTGTTTAGTAGCTATAGATCTGAACAGGGCTAGATTGCAGTATCTCCTACTTTCCCTCATCCTGTGCATGAATGCTCTCACTGTGAAAGAGGGGGTTGCCAAGTGTTACTATATATTAACTGTTTTTATCTTGTCTGTTGTGAGCCACCCAGAGTAGACCATGTCTAGATGGGCGGCATATGTGCAATCAATCAATCAATCAATCAATCAATCAATCAATCAATCAATCAATCAATCAATCAATCAATCAATCAATCAATCAGTCAGTCAGTCAGTCAGTCAATCAATCAATCAATCAATCAATCAATCAAGGGCCTGAATAGGGCTGGATGAGCAGGGGCAGCATTTCTTTTAAAATGAAATGCATTTTTCTACCATCTTACGCCTATCAAAAGTAGGTCCTACCGATTAGTGTTCACTCCTAGAAAAAGATGTACAAGATTATAGCTTCCCATGTTAAAAATGTTGTGTTTCCCCCCACCCCCCGGTCATCATCCACATTTTCTCCCATTATTTTCTTTTGGGGAGAGAGCAGAAATAACTCTCCCCTCTGTTGACTCACAATCCTTTCTTCGTTATTTCTTTCTTTCTTTTTTCTGAAGTGCAGTGAAAATGCTGTACAGGAAACTGAAATAATGAGTTTCCCCCCGGTTCATGTATTTTTCTGGCCATTCCCTGTCGAGGAAGAAAACACATCTCCTATTGATTCATAGCACAGGCACATTATTTCAATGACCATGGAGTGGCGGCTGAGGCAGGATCTAGGCAC